GAACTACAATCGTGAGAAGAAGAGACGAATGGGAAATGTGCTGCGGTCCGCATAGTTCGCCAAGACGGACCGCCCGAAAGAAGGAAGTAAGCTAAGTAATAAAGTAAACATTTGCGTTGAGATGGAACTGTCCAGAGAGCAACAATGATTATTGATGCTAAACGCGCATCGTGTTCAAGTGCTGCTGATACTCTGCGCCGTATTAGGGAGGCTTGGGGTGACAGAACAGTTTGGAAGTCTGAAAACTGCATTTTTTGGCCGTTTCAATGTATTCAGAGCTGAAAATGGAGATTTTGCGCAGAAGCAGAGAGCCGGTCGCCCATAAGAAATTGCCCGGCAAGCTGCCTTGAGAGCGACTGAGAGGTCCCCGTCGTTACTGACTTGCATGCTGCCAGATGGCTCCTTGCTTGTTCGTTAAATCTTCATTTCAGCCTTAAATCCATTAAAGAGATCAAAAACTGCAGTTCTCCCAACTGTTCCGTCACCCCGGCTGAAAGTCTCAGCAGCACTTGAATCCAAACTCGATACTCGAGTATCTCAACAATCGCTTTTGCTCTCGGAACAATCCCATCCTAAAACAATTGTGTAAGTGTTACGTATCAAAATAATCGCAAGAAGCTGCTCTAAACGATATCAAAAATAAAAACTTAGTTACATAGAAAATAATCAGTAAAAAAGAGAAAAACCGAACAATTTCTGGCCAACCAAATATCTGCCCACATTTACAAAGTCTGCAAAATTTAGTGAAAAAGCCAAAAATACATCTAAAAAGTTCTGAGGATGACGTACGTATGTGACATTGGCTCAGGGCAGCTCCGAAGACAAAATTCGCGAATTATTTGACCACTGAAAAAAAGGGAATGAGTTCAGAGCCTACAATCAATTTTACATAATCCGATGAGAACAAGAACTAGCCGTAGCGAAACATCAGAAAACCTCGAAACCAATTTCACATGATTTCGTCATAAACTGCCAATTTTCCGAAAAATTTCCTGCTCACACGAAACTGTAAAATGAGTTTTCTAAGCGAATTTTTAGATCAAAAGTCACATGAGTACCTCGTAAAGGACGAAAATTCAGAGAACCATAATCAAGAAAAAAAGTTTAGAGGGATTTTCGAACACTTCCAACCCCTTGATGACGCGACCATAATCGCCATCGCAAACGGTACGCGAAATTTCCTCTACAAGCTTATATGCTTTTGTGCATACAAGACGCTTATATGCCAAGAAAACCCCAAATGTGAAAAGTAACATTTTCGCTCTTAAAGCGCACTACGAAGACCTTTTTAGAAACCAATTTCAGCTCCAGAATCGTCGAAATTTGTGTTATCCTGAGTACTAGTATAGTCTGATATATGGCGGTCCATAGATTTCAACCAAGCAAACATAGTAAGCCGAAAGCGCAACATGATATTTTATCGCTGGTACAGCGTGTTGAGAAGGCCCTTTTAGAAAACATGCACAATGTTGTAGTCACTGACATTTGAGTTTTCTAATGAGTGCTAAAAATCTGCGTGAAAAACTCTGCACAGCGAAAAAAGGAATCTGGAAATCTGTCCGCAAAGGGTTTGACCATTTAAAATTTTTCGCCGAACGAGGAAACTCGTCCACATTTGGGATAGTGCTTATCATCGGATACTTTGAATTCGTACAAATTTAACCGAATGGATATCATATAACTATCTCGTATTCGTGTAAGACGAAAACACTATAGAAACAGGTAAACGACAGAAATTTGAAACGTCCTTGAAGGACTTCTCCACTGTTGCAATTTTTCGCAGAACGCGGAAACTCGCCCAATTCTACGATCGTACTCCTCTTCGAGTAACTACTGGTTACTCTGTTGTGAATTCCTATCAAGACGATTTATGATGCGGGTGGATAGCGCAGCAGTGGTAATGTCGTTCACATCACAGGCATGGTGCTATGCGACCCCATCACAGCTCACCATGACTTTCATTTCGCCGGCGTCGGGAAAGCGATACCGGATTTGTGTGAAAACATTTCATTTCGCTCAAAACAAGCGAACAGCACTCTAACACATTCATTTCAGAACTGGAGAGGAAATCGATCTGGTCAGCATCCGATGATACTCATAAACAAGAGCAAATTAGCAAATAACTACCGCATCCATATGTTAGAGGTTTGGAAACCTTCGTGGATAATGGGTGCGACAAAACGAGTCAACTAAAAGAATCGCTAAAATGCAGTGACAGGAAGAAAAAAAAAGTAAAATGAACTTACGAACCACGTAAGCAGGATGAAAGATCTTTTACGTTATTGAACGCGCAGTCGAAAGGTCGATGCTAGGAGTATCACGGCGCAAGTGAGAGAAAGGATCCAAAGTTTTGACCTAGTCCAGTGATCGGAATCAAAGACGCCGTTCTATGCGCCATGATATCGCAAATGAGGTGGGCCGGACACGTGATGCGACTCAACAACAACCGATGGACGAGAGCCGTTACCGACTGGATTCCTCGGGATATCAAGCGCTCTGCAGGTAGACCACCGACTCGTTGGTCCGATTTCTTCACGAAAGCTACAGAAGAAGGACATGAGGCTCAGCGAATCCTTAGAGTGAGGAGCATCCATCGGGCTACTCTTGAACGCGAACGGGAAAAAATGGGAGTGTTGCTGGTACCCGCTCGAGTCACTTGACGATCAACGGGACGACAGGTGATGAAGGTGATGACGTCACAGACATCACTATTGTCGAAAGGAATTACCAGCATGGGGAACAACTGCGCAGGAGAGAAGCTAACGGAATCTATGCTGAAGCTCAGAATACCAGAGGACAAGCCGTTCGAGTACCCAAGTTAATAGTTTTATTTGTGGTGAAGGTTTGAAGCGATTCAAAGATGCATTGGAGATCACGCGGTAACGCGGCGATACGATTTATATGTGCAAGAAAATGGTAAGCGCATTAAACGTACGCTTCAATTGTTTTAGATTACATTTCAGAATTTCAGTGAGTTTTATGGATTGATTATTTCTCATGTGAAATTGCTCATGGATAGTATGAAGGAATCAAGTTATATTGCTCTTGTGCGAGGTCTTAAAATAATCTATCACACTGATTGTTACATAGCCCACTTAACAACCATACGCCATGCAATCAGCAGTCAATCACTCTAAAAGAACGCCACTCTGATTGTCTGTAGGAGAGAATTAGTCTTCACATATTCTTATCCGCTTAGGAACGCTCCCAAGCATTACCAGAGATGCTATCACAATCCACTGATGGGAATGATATTTTCAATCTTTTACGAGTGTTTGTACATAGATACTCAAATTTTGTGATACTATTCAATTTCATTGATGTGCATTTCCTGATAACATATTTTGAGCCTTTCGTGAAGTCTGTTCTGGCACCTCTAAAGTGCTAGACACGCGTTTCGGTCTATCAGCCCCATCAATAGCACGGTGCCTTTTGTTTTGCCAATCCCTTGTAAGGTGGTATACGTCCTCCTTATAACAGAGTCAAAGCCAAAAATGATAGGCGTTCCGGAAGGCGTCCATTGATGACTGCAAGAAAGTGTTGAGGGTGGGGGATCAATCCCGCACCGAACCACGCTGAGCATCACTAGATACTCGACCATCAGCTTGTAGTCGAAAATCGGATCTCTTTTCAAAACTGGAGTTTTATCAAATAATGAGTCGTCTTTTGGGAAGATGCCGTTATCGACAACATCACCACGGAATGCCACCTGCCCAATCAACATTTTCACGTTAACGCTATGAAGGCAGAGGGTTCGACACTTACCAAAGGACGTTTGTATGCATAAGCACTCGAGCTGATATGCCATCTCAGATCACATGAGCAACATCCAATCTCCAACTCATGCCCAACTTGCCACACTATGCGAAAAGGTGATGAGAGATCTTACGCAGACAAAAACAGAGCAATTACTGAAACTTCCGCGACTGGGAAGTGCATTGGCGACGCCAGACGAGACCTCGCTACTTACACGGCTAAGATGCTCGCATTCGGGTGCCCAAAGCAGAGTGGTGGTTCCCACAGAGGTGAAGAAAATCGTCCGCGGCGATTACTCCAACCTCACTATATGGATTTGTGGCTCTACCAATTCTTTCTTTGGGAAGCCGACATACATTTTCGTTGACGGAGATTCGTACTACACCAGGTCTGGACGGAATTTGACTCGATTATTCAAAGAATTTTCCTACAGTCTTCATTAATACAGTGGCTTGGCCTTTCACACGTTATCAGTTGGAAGACAAGCACCTATTCAACAAAATACCATCGAAACCGAAACGAGATCGGCAATTAACGCCTAATCATGATGCAAACTAATATTGCTTCACATCGCTGCAAGCACCTAATCACTAAATTTGAACAAAGCGAGCCATCTGATGACTTAATCTCTTTTCAAAATCCGAATTTTTCATAAACGTTGTTGACGGAACACTGTGTTCAATCAATGGTCATAAAAAGGTGCAGAAAAATTTCGCATCGTCACAATATTTTAGACATTTGCCACTACAATGGCCAATGTTGAATCTATGTTCTGTTCGCTTTTGGAAGTTCTTTGAGCTACGTTTTGCTTATGGTTTTTGTGATCGACGAGTTCAGAGACAGCGCGGTCGGCTCCAGACTTCTCTTCACGCATAGTGCCAACTCTTGCACGGTAAGAACTATAGATCACGGGTTAGACGTTTGAACAATGAAAGTGAAGATGCTACACTGAGAGACCCTGATTGTTTCTTTCTCCACATTGTTGCGCGCTGGTTCTTGCTTCAATTCTTCCAGAATACTGCACTTCTCACCGAGCTTGCAAAATTTCAAGACATTTCACATATAGATCAAAGCACACTGACGAGCAATTATATACAGCTGATGATGGAGCGATGATAAACTCAGTACAGTTATTTTCACTGAACTCCATAATCAGGCGTCTTTTTCCAATACCCTAGTAATCAAGAATCAACAAAAACTTGACAGTTCATACTCCGAGAGAATTGAGTGGTGAGCAAAAGTACCGCCTCAAGTGGAGATCAAACCCGCCTTTCATCCATATTGGGGACGCGTGCTACTACCACTACACCACCGAAGCACATTTTTTTTCACCACTCGTTCTTCAACATCTCTATATTAGCTATCAGCCACCAACCCTTTAACAGGTTTGGTCGGATATGCGATTTCGCTTTATAAACCCAATTGCGCTAACAGCTATGTGATATGCAATACTTGTAATTTTTAATGCTTTTCACTGCATTTTTCGCAGTGAGACGATGTTTCATCAAACCTAAAAAAAGATTTTGCTCAGCACTCAATTTTCTAAGTATACACGAAAATTCATAACACTGCGAAAAGTGCAGTGAAAGTACTAAAAATTTCGAATACGTACCTTCTTAATTCACTCAACATGCGGTCAAATGTTTCTTGCATGGCCACGATACGAGTCGAATTGGTGCTTAAAAGTTGTATATGCAAAATTAGATCAATAAATATTGTGAAAGAATCAGAGGACTTGGTAAAATATTGCGTCAAACATTCAATATAATTCCAAAAAAAGAATGATTTAAGCTCAAAAAAAAAAACGTTGCGTCAAACGTGGACAATAAGCGGTCATGTAATGGATACAAACGATGTAGTCAATCTGCCTCAGCTGCATTTAACTTCTTGAAATATTTCAGTGAAACATATTCATATTCACACATACCTGCGCGAATTTTCCCTAAATGATATGAATATGTTTCCTCTTACACAGCTCAATAGGTTATCAAAAAGCATTTCTGTCCCAAATTAGCGCACGTCAACAAGTCTGTGAATGCTTTCAAACAGAAAACTGCGAAATAAGGGGTTTCGTCCGGAAAGTATGATATTTCCTCCATGTCCCTCAGGCAAGCTTTATCTTAGGTGATAAATAAAAATCGTATTGATACTCTGTCTTGACGTCAAACGTGATCAATATCAGAACTGTTTTTTTCTCAACGTATGTGGTTGAGACGTAAAGGACGAAAAGGAGAAGATTGTAGATTAGAAAGACATCCAAATTTCTGTGATCCCTGTGCATTTTAACAAAGAAAATTAGTGGGAAGTTTGTACCGTCACACGTAGAATGCAAAGCAGCGTGTGGTCCAGTAGTAGAATGCTTACATTCCACCCGGCTACCCGGGTTCGACGGCGGCCCAAAAGGCGCTGTTAGGCCAATTCTCAAACATGTTTAACTAGAGTTTCATTGTGCATTACTAACACAGCAACATTCTAAATTATAAAAGTCGATGAAGTATTTCCATATCTCTGGCGATAGCAAGACACCGGATGGACCTTCGAGTCGAAAAGGTAATTGCAGAGTTGCGGATCGATAAAAGATGGTCATAATCAAAAGAAAACTGAAAAACTTAGGCAGCTAGTCAGGAAGGATTAATTCATGGTCGATGGAATCTCTGTGGCAAGAACTGCTGGCCTAGGGACCTCAGAAATCGATACCGCAGAGACGCCGTAATGGCGAGCTCAGAAAAAACCTTTTTCACCATCCCTAACTGAGAGTGTTCCTATCAGATCAAACACTAGTTATGGACTTTTCTGCTGAGCTTAACATTTCTTCGGCAATGAAATGTTTATGATTCTCATGGCTTGTTGGACTTGTCTCACTAAAGCGATGATCGTCATGTGGCCGAAGTGGGCAGTGTGTCAAGTTTCCAGTATGTCGGAAGGTTGATCTCATTCATATCACAGTGCCCCAAGTTTCTTCCCAGAATTTTGGCCACATGCACTCGACGAGGTTTGATATCAACGATATATAGTATATAAAGAAAATCTCAGACGACAGTTCATCATGGTGGGCTAAAAAGCCGAAGCACGTGTCTAGCCCTGTATAATTAGAAAAACAAACCTCATGAAAGGCTCAAAGTATAATTCTAGATTATACATTGCTTTGAGCGAGGTCTCAAAAAACATTTGAATATGAAGGCACTGATCATGCTCTTGTTCAACGATGAGCCTATCACTTCAAAATCGGCAGCAGTACAGGTCTGAGAGGTGAAATGATAAATACTATAACAGCAATCCAGTGATTGAAACCTCAGATAACAAAACTAGCTAGAGTAACTGAACGCATACATAGATATAATTCTTCTGGACCTCGGAATACTTGGTAATTTGCTTATTCGCATTACAGCCCGTGATAAACAGACTGCGAGCCGCACGCGCGGCGCCAGCCATGTAAAGACGCGTCGCGTGGTTGACGAGGGATTAACAACAAAAATCTCCCGCAACATGCATATTGCGCTGCTCAATCGATTCACAGCCGTTTACACATCTTAAGCGATAAGAAATACGCCGAGTGCAAAACCTAATCTTCTTGTTGAAGAGTTTCAACGCTTTGAGAAGAGCATTCCAGAACTAAAGAATGCCATAGAAGTTCTCGCGATTCAAGTAATCGGTTGAATCTTAAAACTGAAAAATGCGGAAAGTGTGCTGTCCTCTGTCGCCGAAGGGTTGAAAATATGTGACAAAAAAAAAAACAAGAAAGTGCCAGCTGCACTGGTTCGTTAACTCACCTCTCAATTCGAAAACCGGGTGTAGAAAGTGATCAAAAAGGCAAGAAAACTGACTAACGAAACGGTATGGTAGAAAATTGTTTATATAAGTAGTCGCAAAAAGAAATAAGAACTAACCTGACGCTGGAATAGCCGACGAAATGAAGCCGCCTTTCCAGAAAATTTTACGGATCACTCCAGAGGTGGAATGGAGCAGGTTGTCGCGTTGGAGCGCGAAGTTGACTACTTCCGTGTCGATTCAATCAATAATCCTTACGCGAGTATATTTCTCGTGACTGACACAATGGACCACGTTAGTTTTCAGATATTAACGGCTATATAAGTAGTCGCAAAAAGAAATAAGAACTAACCTGACGCTGGAGTAGCCGACGAAATGAAGCCGCCTTCCCAGAAAATTTTACGGATCACTCCAGAGGTAGAATGGGGCAGGTTGTCGCATTGGAGCGCCAAGTTGACTACTTCCGTGTCGATTCAATCAATAATCCTTACGCGAGTATATTTCTCGTGACTGACACAATGGACCACGTTAGTTTTCAGATATTAACGGCTTAGAAAGCGTTTGAATCATATTGATCTGCAAGTCATTTCGTCTGGCCAGGAGTTTCTATGCCACCTGCACAAGATGTGGAAAAGTTGAGATTAGATGGTAAGTCTAAATTTTAAGAAGGCATTATTACCATCCAATCAGGGGGTATCATCAAAGAGATTACTGTGAAAGATGTTACGGTTTTTTCAGTATAAATATCGTCTGTGTGTCACAAAACTAATTGATTTGAACAGAGGGGAAGTCCATCTCCTCAAAAATGAGCACATTTTCACATGCTTTATAATATCTGTTTACAATTCATTCTTTTTTCTTATTCATATTTTTGAAGGCGTTGGATAGCTTGAGAAATGCCGGTTCTAGCACAGGGCTTGGTTTCGGGTTCGGCATTAACGCACGCTACCTAACAATAAGCTGTGATGTTTTGCAATTGCAGTGCAAATGTTTGAAACACACGGCGTTGGTATTATATAAGAGAATTTTTGAATGTGGCTGCATAGAAAATTACTGTAATGCACAGGAAAGTGTATTTTTAGTAGAAAGACAACTAAGCTTTTTCGAAAAAGTCCACTGATCCTTGCGAAGTGAATGTAAAGCGGTCGTATCGCGTGGAATGTGTTCGCATTTACTTTCCCTTTTCACTCGGTAGAACTTTTTCCTTAGACTCTTAGCAATCGTTCAACAGCTCTAAAACTGGAAAATTCAATTTAATACTGAACCTGATTTGTGAACAGACCTTCATAGTAGGTTCGCTAACACAAAAAAATCTTTCTGTTCAAGAACGCGTACGGCAGTGTTAGAGGCGCTCTGTGTCATACACAAAGTCTTTATTTCTATTTCGTAATCGTGGCTCGCCATGCTTTCTATCTTTTCGCGATCGATAACTTGTGTCATATTTGTGTTGAAGCATGAGCAGCACTGGATCAATACATCAGCAGGCCGGCGGGAGTTTTTTCAAAAGTCAGATGTGCATTCAATCATTTTAAACGAAGCTTCAAATTAAAAGCGAATATGTGGCGCATATCATAGAACTGGTCAAAGCCTAAAGCTTTTTTGAACTCCTGTGAACGTAATTCTAATAAAAACAACACTCATTTTTCGTTGAAAATTCTTGTTTTCCAATGTGATTGCTTCATTTCTGGAACAGCAATGCACTTCCAACTTTTACTCATATCAACGTCGAAATTCAGATCATCGTACTTTTCATAATTTGAGCCCGTAATCAAAACCACAAATCTCACTGATCTCAATGGCATGATTGCTCTCTAAGAACATTGTCAAAGCCAAATGGATATTGAGCTTCTCATTTGGCATCTTGTCGACCGCAAATCGCGTGCGATGAGGGCCGAGTACGAAATCAAATTTTCTTAGCCACAACAACGCACTAAGAAGTGCTTCTTGAGGGCTAAAAGTCATTGAAATCGCTGAGATTCGTGCTGTCGAATGCTTATTGAGATTCTGAAAGAAAGGCTGTGTCCAGCAAAGTACTCTAATCTCCGACGCAATCTTGCTCATCGTGCTACAGCGCGCAAAGAGATTTCCTTTCGAAAAAAAAATGCACCTTTGAAATCCTAGTGTTAAATGCTATCGAGTAGTTGGATATGAGTGATCTTCTGATGCCAATGTTGCGAAATCCATTCACATTCCAGTACAGGTTATGCGCGCAGCATGAGAAATCTAATTCTAATTTCAACGTTGCACCGCAACAAAAAGTTTTTTCGATGAAGCAAAGATTTGATTAAATTTGCCGTAATTTGTGCAATCGATTAATTATTGGATTTTCTGAGCAAAATCTTTGTTCAGCGAAACATGCTTGAGAATGGAATGAAATGTTATCTTTACTGTGACAGCGTAATATAGAACGCAATGAAAAAGGAGATTAACTGTTCAATTTTTCTAGATTGAAGCTACAGGTGACTATTAAAATATCTAGGAAGGGCCTAAAAATACCATTTGAATATGTGTACGAATAAGAAAAAAGTACCCAGTACTGTAAATAGTTGG